TTTTTTTTTGGTGGCACTGAGGCTTGAACTCAAGGTCTTGTGCTTACTTAAGCAAATGGTCTACTGCTTGAGCCATGCCCCAGTCCTAGTTTGCTTTTCAGATAGAAGTCTTACAGGTTTTCCCAGGACAGCCTTAAACCTCAGTCCTCACCTCAGCTTCTGGAGCAGTTGGAATTCTAGGAGTACATCTGGATTCTCATATCTGCTTTTTAATCCAACTTCTTGAGATAACAAGTCTTAGAACCTCTCAGAAGCTTCACAGAGTTTGAGCAAGACAGATAAATTCTGAATAGTATCACAAAACTGGTTTTGCCCCTTCCAACCCCCTGAAGACTCTTGAAAACCCCTTGTAGTCCCCAGCAATCACTTTATTATGAAAATTAATGTACTTGATTTTTAATGTTTATTTGCATTTCCTGCTAAAATCAGCTTTTGGAGAGTAAGAAACTGCGGTTTCATCCACTAGCTAACTCTAGAAAAGGATTTTCCTTTGTAAGTATCCTGGTTCTACTTTGTGAAAACCCGAAATCGACCCTCTGAATGAGTAATCAGAGAAATGAGTTAAGCATCGGTTAAAGTTATACATTGGTTCTATGGCTAGAGGAGGACTCTCACTTGATTTTTCAACTTGGAAATGGAGGTACTGAGGGTTGGGCAGGTGTCCCAATCTCAAGTGTGTAATAATAGCAGAAGGACTTTCAACTCAGATCACTCACAGTTGGATCCAAACTGATTTGGGCCAAGTGTACTTCTTTGAGCCTCATTTTCCTCACCATGAAATAAAGTTAATAACATAGTACATGTCCCAAAGAGGTATATGAGAACTAAAGAAAATATAAGCGATTATAGTAGTTCTTTGGTACATAATAAAGCCTCAATAAATATTCACTGCTATTTATTTTTATTATAATTTTTCTTTCAGGTTGAGGTTAGGTTTATCCATGCAGTGAAGTAGTATATATATATATTTTTTTTATTATTTAGCCATAAAAATGAAATACGGATACGTGCTATGGTGTGAATGAACCTTTAAAACATTATGCTTAGTGAAGGATGCCAGACACAGAATGATTTCATTTGTGTGATATGGGCAGCATCTGAACAGACCTTTATTTATTTACTTACTTTTGTGTTAGTCCTAGAGCTTGAACTCAGGGTCTGGGTGCTGTCCCTGAGCTTTTTTTTTGGCCGGTTGTGGGGCTTGAACTCTGGGCCTAGGCACTGTCCCTCAGCTCTTCAGCTCAAGGTGAGCGTTCTACCACTTGAGCCACAGTGCCACTTCTGGTTTTCTAGTGGTTTATTGGAGGTAAGAGTTTCACGGACTTTCCTGCCCAGGCTGGCTTTGAACCGTGATCCTTAGATCTCAGCCTCCTGACTGAGCTTTTTGGTCCAGTCCTGGGGCCTGAACTCTGGGCCTGGGTGCTGTCCCTCAGCTCTTCAGCTCAAGGCTAGCACTCTACCACTTGAGCCACAGCGCCACTTCCAGCTTTTTTTTTTTTTCTGCTTATGTGGTGCTGAGGAATCGAACCCAAGGCCTCATGTATGTAAGGCAAGTGCTCTACCACTGAGCTACTTTCCCAGCGCTTTTTTTTTTTTCTCAAGGCTAGTGCTCTACCTCTTGAGTTATAGCTCTACTTCTTGCTTTTGGGTGATTAATTGTAGATAAAAATTTCATGGACTTTCTTGCCCCTGGCTGGCTTCAAACCATGATCCTCTGATCTCAATCTTCTGAGTAGCTAGGATAAGAGACATGAGCTCCTGGCTAAGACTATATTTTTTGTTAGTTTGCATGCCTCTTCATGGGGCACTTTGAATGTTTGAATGCTGTAATATTTTATTTATTTTTTATTTAGTTAGTCCTGGGGCTTGAACTCTGGGTCTAGGCTCTATCCCTAAGTTTCTTTTGCTCAAGGCTATGGCTGTACACTTTGAACTACAGCACCTGGCTTTTTCTGAGTAGTTTACTAGAGATGAGTCTCATGGACTTCCCTGCCTGGGCTGATTGCAACCAGGATCCTTAGCCTCCTGAATAGCTAGGATTACAGGTGTGAGCCACCAGCAGTGTTTTAAAATGGAAACTCTGGGAGTCAGATTCTTCCCTGAGCCCCTAGGGTTGGTTGTTGCCACTTGTGTGTTGTAATTGTTTTGTGGCTTTTTAAACTGGTTAGTTTGGGTAATACTGTATTCTTTGTTCTGTGTGATCAGTGAAGTCATGCACTAAGTTTAGTGGTGAAGTAGTGACTTAAAAAAGATTTCCCTAGATGCCTGGAGCAGGAAACACAACAAAACCCGCAGCCTTTTTATCTGGCTGTGAGCCCTGAGGCCTGCCTTCCCACTCAGCCAGGCTGGCCACAGCCCTGCCTTGGCCTTTGCCTCTTGCTCACACAGAGCAAGGCTTGACCTTGCTCAGAGAGTCTTTTTAGGTCTAAGTCACAGCCTTCTATAGTCTCAGGAATCTATGGAAGATTTAAAAAAAATTTTTTTCTGTCAATTGCGGGGTTTGAACTCTGGGCCTGGGCGCTGTCCCTGAGTTCTTCAGCTCAAGGTGAGTGCTCTTCCACTTGAGTCACAGCGCCACTTCTGGTTTTCTGGTGGTTCATTGGAGATAAGAGGCTTGGGCTGGAGGGCTGGGAAGGTGGCTCAGTGGTAGAGCGCTTACCTTGCATGCATGAGGCCCTGGGTTCGATTCCTCAGCACCACATAAGCAAAAAGAAAAAAGCAGGAAGTGGTGCTGTGGCTCAAGAGGTAGAGCGCTAGCCTTGAGCTGAAGAGCTGAGGGACAGCACCCAGGCCCAGAGTTCAGGCCCCACGACCGGACCCCCCCCCCAAAAAAAAGAGTCTTGGGCTGGGAAGGTGGCCAGTGGTAGAGCGCTTGCCTTGCATGCATGAGGCCCTGGGTTCGATTCCTTAGCACCATATATGCAAAAGGAGAAAAGCCGGAAGTGGTGCTGTGGCTCAAAGTGGTAGAGCGCTAGCCTTGAGCTAAAGAGCTGAGGGACAGTGCCCAGGCCCAGAGTTCAGGCCCCACGACCGGAACCAAAAAAAAAAAAAAAGTCTTATGGACTTTTCTGCCCAGGCTGGCTTTGAACCATGATCCTCAGATCTCAGGCTCCTGAGTAGCTATGATTATAGGTGTGAGGCACTGGGCACCCAGCTTATGGAAGCTTTAAGTAAACAAAGTCTATATTTACATTAGAGTTCACCCATGACATTGTGCAATTCTTTTTTTAAGTGATTATTTGCATACAGGATTTGTTTTTAAATTTTTATTTTATTGTAAAGGTGATATACAGAAGGGTTACAGTTGCATCAGTAAGGTATGGTACATTTCTTGTCGGACATTTTTACCCCCTCCCTCGTTTTCTCTCAGTTTCCCTCCCTGCACTGTGCTTTTTTTTTTTTTTTGTCAATCATGGGATTTGAACTCTAGGCCTGGGCGCTGTCCCTGAGCTCTTCAGCTCAAGGCTAGATCTCTACCACTTGAGCCACAGCACCACTTGTAGCTTTTTCTGTTTATGTGGTGCTGAGGAATCAACTCAGGGCCTCATGTGAGTGAGGCAAGCACTCTACCACTGAGCCACCTTCCCAGCCCTGACTTTTGCCTTTTCTAGGACATCATGTAGTTGGAGCCAAACAACATGCTTCCTTCTCATACTGCCTTTTTCACCCTTTGAGGTTTCCCATCTCTCTTGACAGTTTGACGGTTCCCTATTTTATGGCAGGATAATGTCCCTGCTGGCTGAATGTAAGAGTTTTGCATCCATTTACCTATTGAGGGACTTCTTGGTGGCTTATACATTTGAGCAGTTGTGAATAAAACTGTAATAAACATCTGTGTGCAGGTTTCTGTGTAGCCATCCATTTCCAGCTGCAATAGGTAAATCTCTAGGTGTGCAGCTGCTGGCTCATGTGAGATTATATTTAGCTAAGAACTTCAAAGCTCTTATCCCACAAAGCATCTGACTGCCTGAGTAATAGGCTTTGCTTCAGGCTGCAGTGGCTGGTTCACTTTCTTTATGATATTTTCAATAAATGCCCTCCACATTACCCAGCTCTTCCTTGAGAAAGTGCCAAGTTGAGCAAAATAAGGGTGAGACCTTTGCCTTAATCTGTCAGGGAGCCACATTTTTTGCCAGTTCTAGGGTTCTAGGGCTTGAACTCAGGGCCTAGGCACTGTTCCTGAGCTTCTTTTGCTCAAAGCTAGCACTCTAGCATTTGAGCCACAGCGCCACTTCCAGCTTTTTCTATGTATGTGGTACTGAGGAATGGAACCCAGAGCTTCATGCATGCTAGGCAAGCACTCTACCACTAAGCCACCTTCCTAGCCCAGAACCGCAATTCTTTGAGAACAAAATTCTCTGTTCCTTCCAGCACCAGGAGGCGGTACCAGATACCTGGGCCAGGTTGTTGTCTTTGCTCTCCACTGCCAAGCCAGGGGCATGATGAAGCCTGGGTAAGTTAAAGCACTGCCCACTCTACCACCAGCTTCTGTCATCTTTTTTCCTGATAGGGACTTGCTTGGAGGCTGAAAAACCTTGGGTTGTTTCCCAGAGTCATTGTTGCTGTTTTTGCAGTACTGGGGTTTGAACTCAGGACCTCCAACTTGCCAGGCAGGCACTCTACCACTTGAGCCACACCCCAGCCCTCTTTGTTTTAGTTATTTTTCAGGTAGGGTCTGACATTTTTGTCCAGGCTAAAGAAAGAGTTGCATTCAGTCCAGCATGTGCAAGGAATTCGTGCCTCTCTCTTCGTGTACAGATAAGGACACCAGAAGCTCAATGGCTTCCCAGGTCCCGTGGCTTTTAAGTGGCCAAGCACAGACCTGGTTAGGCCTGCTTGAGTTTCAAGGCCACGCTCTGCCCATTTGGCTGCAGATTCTGATTCCCCCGTGTTGGTTTGCAGGAACTAGTCACCGCCAGGTGCTCTCTCCTTTCCGACTCCTTACACAGCCTGGCTCATCTGCAGAGTGGCTTTTGGCCAAGACCGGGCAGAGGAGAGCCATGGACCCGTACAGCCCTGAGGACGAGGGTGCCCTTCCATCAGAAATGCACCTTCCTTCCTTCTCAGACAGCCAGGGGCTCAACTGCAACGACACTGTCAGCCGGGACCTGGGGCCCAGCACTCGAGACCTGCTCTATGCTGGCCTCAGCGGTTTAGACCTGGACCCCAGTCTCCCAGCATCAGACATGCCCAGTGAGGTGCTGGAGGACAACTTGGATACTTTGTCCCTGTACTCAGGGAAGGACGGTGACTCTGTGAAGCTGTTGGAGGAATATGCAGACTCCGAATCTCAGACTTCCTTGCAAGGTAAGACTGCCTGCCTGGGTGGAAGGGCCTAACAGGATGCTCAGGAGTTCTTCCAACCATCCAGGGGTGATTCTGCATGGGTCAGTGTAGACAAGCCTCCTTTACTAGCGACCCAGGGACCTGTGGCTTTTTATGTCCCTGTCCCACCCAGATGACCTAAAGTCAACTGCCCTGTAATCTTCTTTCCCCAAGCCTGACTCTGTGTTCCTTGGAACAAGAGAGACATGTGTGCTCTTCCTCTACCTGCTGAACTTTTCCGAACTGAGGATACCTCCCCTCTCCCACCTGAGTGTCCCGTCTCCTCAGCTGGTGCTCAGGCAACTCAGTCTGTATCCCCAAGGGATACAGAAAAGGTGGGAGATTCCGAACAGGAAAAAAAAAGGAGGAAAAAAAATAGACCCATCATCCTAGCAGTGAATCGCAATCTCAGTTCCACTCCAATTCCTTTTTCTTTCTTCACATCTGTACCAGTTCGGTTGGGCACTTGGCAGCTTTTTGTCAGGAGCATGTCAAACATATGCTTTCATGTGCTGGGTTTTATTTGGAAGGCTTGCATCAGAGGCCACTTAAACCCTAATATAAGCTAGGCACGGTGGCACATACCTGTCATCCCATATCTGCTGGAGGTAGAAGCAGGAGGATCTTGAGTTCAAGGCTGTGACTTGAGACTCTTACTTGAAAATGAAATGCAAACAAAAGGGCTGGAGACGTGGCACTATCTTGCCCACATGCTTTGAGGTCCTGGGTTCAATCTGCAGGACTGGAAAAACTCTCTTCACACCCTCTTGACACCATGTAGGGTCAGGAGGAAAAGCAATGGGAAGGTTAATGTGCTTGCAGGAGCTCTTTGTAGAAAGCCACCTCTGAAGTAAAAAGCCTAGAGCAGACCCGGCTGGATGAGTGCAGGGACTCACACTTTTGCCCTGCAGATTGCCCTTCTGTGGGTGCAGGTGAAGGTGTAGGCTCAAGCTCTGCCTGTCATGTCACTCAGCTGCCATTCCTGTCCCTCTGCACCAGGCATGGAACCAGGTACGGCCCTGTGGGTGGGGCCTGATCAGGGCCCTCGTTCCCTCCTGGTGCTCCTGAGCTGCTGGAAGTCCAGGTCTTGGCCCGTCCTTGCAAAACCTTCACTCAGGAGAGCTGCAGAGCATCCTCGGGGGGTGTCCTGGGCTGTGATAACCTGTGCTTTCTCCCTCTGTCTAGACCTGGGGCTAGGCGCCCTGAAGGTGCCTAAAGAGGCCGATGAAGGCGGCAGGGCCACCTCAGGGAGCGCACGGAAAGGCAAGCGGCAGCACAGCTCCCCCCAGAACCCACTCCTGGACTGCAGCCTTTGTGGAAAGGTGTTCAGCAGTGCCAGCTCCCTCAGCAAGCACTACCTGACGCACAGCCAGGAGAGGAAGCACGTCTGCAAAGTCTGCAGCAAGGCCTTCAAGCGGCAGGACCACCTGTACGTAGACAATGGAGTGCTGACTCCTGCTCCTCTCCCCATCCAACCTTGGGGTTCAGTAGGTTTTGTTTAGTTCTGATAAAGGGTGATCCAAGGGCAGGGTGGTGGAGGTCAGTCCCTACCAGGTCATCTTTTCAGCCACATCTCCTGTGTGTGCCCGCAGAACCGGGCACATGCTCACGCACCAGAAGACCAAGCCTTTCGTGTGCATCGAGCAGGGCTGCAGCAAGAGCTACTGCGATTACCGCTCCCTGCGCCGACACTACGAGGTGCAGCACGGCCTGTGCATCCTGCGGGAGGCCCCACCCGAAGAGGAAGCCTTCGGGGACCCCCCGCATCCGGACCTGCCGCCCCCCAGCGCCCTGCGGCCCCCAGGGCCCCCTGAAGCCAGGTCCCCCAGCTCGGTGTTGCCCAACCGCGACCTGCTGCGCTGCATTGTGAGCAGCATCGTGCACCAGAAGATCCCGTCCCCCGGGCCGGCCCTGGCGGGGCCTTCCGAGGGCGACGGGCGGGGCGCCGGGTCCTCCTCCTGCACCCCGGCGGCGGCCCCGGGAGCTCCAGGGGGCGCCGAGGGGCCTGAGGATCCCCAGCCCCCGAGGACGGAGGCGGCCGCGGAGGATGCGCGCGCAGCTGCGCCGTCCAGGGCGGCGGAGAACGGTGCCCTCGACGCCCCGGAGCTGGAGCCGCCGCCGCAGCCCCCGGCCCGGGAGAGCTGGGCCGAGGGCGGCGCCCTGCCCGCCCGACTGCCACTCTTCCGAGGCGCCGCCGCGGGCGCCCCGACGCCAGGCCACAGCTTCCCGTGGCTGCGGAGCCTGCCGGGTTGCCCCAAGGGCAAGGGCGGCGGGGTCCTGGTGCTGCACAAGGCCCCGGAGCCCCGCGCCGAGCCCGGCCCCGCCGAGCCCGCGCCCGGCGGCGCCGCCGAAGACCCGCCGGCCCCCAAGGCGCCCGGCGAGGCGTGCGCAGCGGACGAGGACAACAACGGCTGGCCTTCCCGGAGGAGCAAGCCCGAGGACGGCGAGCCCCTGTCCTGGCCGAGCCCCGGGGAGCCGGACGGGCCCGGCGCGGCCGAGGCGGCCCCGCTCTTCCGGCAGCTGCTGCTGAAGTCGCAGGAGGCGCTGGCGGGCCACGAGCAGGTGCAGATGCTGCAGGTGCTGTCGGCGTCCCAGCGCCTCTTCGCCCCGCGCCCCGCCGACGCCCGGCAGGCGGCCCTCAAGTCGCTGCAGGGAGCCTGGCCGCAGCAGCCGCCCCCGCCGGCCCCCGCCGCCGCGGACGCCCTCCAGGGGGGCCCCGGACACCCCGAGCCCGAGGGCTCTCCGGCCCGCAGGAGGAAGACGGCGCCCGCCGCGCCCAGGGAGACCTCGCCCAGTGGCACCCGGCGGGACGCCAAGGGCGGCCTCAAGGTGGCCTCCGCCCCGCCGTCGCTCCCAGCGCCCCTGGAGGCGTCCCGGAACCCCGACATCTCTTCTCTGGCCAAGCACTTGCGCTCTTCCAAAGGGACCTTGGACCTGGGGGACATCTTCCCCGCCGCGGGCGCGCGGCAGCCCCAGCACGGGGCAGAGGAGCCGCCCGGAGCCCCGCTGCCCGGGAAGCAGGCCCAAGCCGACGGCTGCGCGGTCGCCGGGGCCACGAGGCCCGACAAGGGCCCAGCCTGCCCCCGAGGGGCCAGCTACCGGCTGTTCTCGGGGAACCCCAGAGCCCAGCGCTTCTCCGGCTTCCGGAAGGACAAGGTGAAGATGGACGTGTGCTGCGCTGCGTCTCCCAGCCAGGTGGCCATGGCCTCCTTCTCGTCCAGTGGGCCTCCCGCCGATCCTGGCCGCGATGTGAAGTCCAAGCTGACCATATTCAACAGAATCCAGGTACCCAATACTGGGGACCCAACTCAGGGCGTCATACAAGACATCCTATCTACCACTTGATCCCTTTTTAGTTACCTTGGATCTCCTTCTATGTCCAGGTGGGCCTGGCCTGTGGTCCTCTTGGGATGTTGGGAATGACTACCCAATCCGTTGTGCCTCCCCTACCGGTAGCTGCAGTAATGGGTTGAGATGGAGCCCCCCATACTTAACTCACCCAGCTGCCCTCTGTCTGCAAGCCCCCAATCACTGCCTCCCACACAGCTGGGTTTACAGGATTACAGGCTTGAGCTTGAAGGGGAAGACCATGGAGAGGTGACCAGAGCACTGTTATGTCACTGTTATGTCACTAAGCTTTTTTTGTTGATTGTTTTCTTTTGCCTCCTGTTGCCTTCTGGATTTGTCTCCTTAAGTTCTTCAGAGGAGATGAAGGTAGAGAGCCCCCACCCTCCCGCCTCCTTAAGTACTTCTGCCTGATATGTGTGTTTTCTACTGGAAGGTGGCCTGCTGTGTGGCCCACCCTAATTCGCTTTAGCCTGGGTCCTCCTGCTTCACGCTTAAGGACCTACTCTGAGGTGTCTAGCCGCACCCCTTAGTCAGCCCACATCCTTCTCATTGCCCCACTCCTATCTAGTGTTTTGTTTTGTTTTGCTTTGCTTTATTACTCAAAATCTTGAGCACCTGACCTTTTGAAAGTGTGCGGTTCAGTAGTTTTTAGTGGATTCATGAGGTTCACCGCTATGTGACAACTTCATCCCCTTACATCTGTCTGTTGTCACCCCTAATCTTTCTACCTGCCTATCATCTCTCCATCCTCTGAGCCTTTTCTATGGAGCTGCCTCTTCTGGGCATCTCAGAGAAGTGGATCATACACTGGGGCCCTTTGTGCCTGGCTCCTGTCACTTAGCACTGTGTTCCCAAGATTCATGTGTGTTCCTGTGCAAGTCTGGGCTTCGTTTGTTTCTTTTATGGTTGAGCCATATGCTGGTGGATGGATAGACTAGAGTTTCTTTAGCTATTCATGGGTGGGCTGTTTCCCTCTTAGCTATTGTGAACATGGCTGTGTGAGCATGTTTGCCCAGCTGCTTGTGTGGATGCATGCTCTTGTGTTTTTTTTGTTGTTGTTGGGTCCGGTTGTGGGGTCTGAACTCTGGGCCTGAGCGCTGTCCCTCAGCTCTTCAGCTCAAGGCTAGCACTCTACCACTTGAGCCACAGCACCACTTCCGGCTTTTTTTTTCTTTTTGCTTATGTGGTGCTGAGGAATGGAACCCAGGGCCTCATGCATGCAAGGCAAGCGCTCTACCACTGAGCCACCTTCCCAGCCCTTCATTATGGCTTTTGACAGTCTCACTATGCAACCTAGTCTCATGGAACTCAATGTGTGTGCCAAACTTATGATCCTTTCTCAGCTTCCCAAAGGCTGGGGTTACAGTCATGTATGACCATGCCTGGCTGTTTTCTATCTTCATGCCTGTAGCACCTTGTGGTTTTGTTTTGCCTTTTTATTATGGATAATAATGCTGAACACCCTCTCATTGGCTTCTTAGCTATTGGTGTAACTTTTTTTTTTGTCGGTGGTGGGACTTGAACTCTGGGCCTGGGCGCTGTCCCTGCGCTCTTCAGCTCAAGGCGTACACTCTACTGTTTGAGCCACAGTGCCACTTCCAGTTTTCTAGTGATTTATTTGGAGATAAGAGTCTCACAGACTTTCCTGCCCAGGCTGGCTTTGAAACGAGATCCTCGATCTTAGCCTCCTGAGTAGCTAGGATTACAGGCGTGAGCCACTGGTACCTGGCTTCAGATATGTGAGTTATAAACATCCTCTCCCATTCTGTGCTAGCATTTGTAGGATAAAAGTTTTCCATTGTAATGAAGTCCCAATTTGTTTTTGGTCTTTCATTTTGCTTTGGTGTCTTACCTAAGAGTCCATTACCTAATCCAAGGGTATAAAATCTTCCTCTGGTGGTATTCCCTCAGGATCTGTTAGCTGTGGATCTTCAGTGCCTTCTCGTTTCTGTTGTGTGGACCCATATGTGTTTTCTTGTACAGGGTGGAAACATCTACAGGCTCCCTCATCCAATGAAGGAGGAGAACGTGGCAGGTGGATGGTAAGTTAGGAAGCCCTCCTGTCCTGGCTGGGCTCTCCCTGCGGCAGAGTCCTTGGTGGCCCTGGTGGTGGGGGGGGATGAGCTGGAGGCCTTCCATCCAGAAGAGGCTCTGCTGGCCTAGAGACTTTGAGTATGGCCTGCATGTTGAAAGGTTTGTCAATCGTGACCAGTGGATATGAGTTAAAAGCAAAATACAATAATCATTCTTTCCATTCTCCTTGCTTCGTCTGCCCATAGCCACCAGCCCAATGGGGGTCCCACTGATTGGACAGAACCAAGGAGCACTTTTGTCTGCAAAAACTGCAGCCAGATGTTCTACACCGAGAAGGGGCTGAGCAGCCACATGTGCTTCCACAGTGACCAGTGGCCATCACCCCGGGGGAAGCAGGAACAGCAGGTAAAGGGGCTGGAGAGGCTTCTGGGGCCAATGGCAGCTAAAGGCAGCATCCTGGGAGAAGGCCTTCGGGATTGGCTGCTCTAGGACAGGACCCTCCCCCCTTTACCAGGCAGGAACTCAGCAGTTGCTCCCTCTGGTCCAGGCCCCCCAGCTTCCCTGCTTGGGAATCTGAAGTGGCCATGACACTTAGAGACCCTTCACTTCTTTATGTTTAGGGATTTGGCACCGAGTTTTGCAAACCATCAAGACAGGTGCTAAGGCCGGACGGGGATGGACAGAGTCCCCCAGGAGGCAGGAAGTCCTTGGACAGCATGGCCACCGCCCCTCTTGTGATCCCCTTGTCAGTCCCTGTGACTCCAGCACCTCGCCGCCTGGGAGGTGCAGCCAAGGTGGGTGCTTATCTAGAAGTACTGATTGGATCTCTCCTTCAGTACTCCTGGAGTCCTATGCTGGCCCAGCCCCATAGAGGACACAGACTTGAGCCAGACAGTGATGGCCCAGATTCCTCAGGGAATGAGGGGCACACAGAGTCTGTGAGCCTCAAGCTGAGACCCTAAAGCTAAGGAGTGAGCTAGAGGGGTGGCATGGTTTGTGCAGGTGAAGGGGGCACTGTGAAGCGGGGTTCACCTCCTTAGCCTGCATGAGGACCACACTGGAGTGGTTCTGCTGCATTCGGGGATGGTGTCTGGTCCCCTTCGGCCCTGCTGGGTCCACATTTCGGTCCCAGGAGCCCCTGGCATTGGTGGAATAGGTTTTCATTAGTCACACTGCCACCTGGTGTCTCTGATGCTGTCCCCACACCTCTTACCAGGAGCATAGGAGGGTAGAGCCTCGGCTGCCAGCAGAGCGCAGCATCCCAGCTCTGGCACAGGGATGGCTGGGCAGTGCCCAAGACAACCCTACCCAGCCTCCCAGGCTGAGGGGTCAGGTGTGGCCCCACTGGGTGTGCCTGTCCCATGAGGCCAGTCAGAAGACTTGAGCGGTGCTATAGGTGGCCTCCATTGACTCTGGGCTCTCTTGCGCCAGGGACAAGAAAAAGATGGGGAAGAGAGAGACAGCAAGGACAGCCGGCAGCAGAGGAAGCGGAAGAAGCGCCCACAGCCCCAGGCGCTGCTCCTGCCTGCCCCACCCTCTGCACTGGGCGAGCCAGCGCCAGGGGGAGGCTGCCACCAGAGCTGCCTGCCCTCCCCTGTGCTCCTGGTAGACCACCTCCTGAAGGGCCTGTTCCAGTGCTCCCCCTACACCCCACCACCCATGCTTAGCCCCATCCGGGAGGGCTCTGGGCTCTACTTCAACACGCTCTGCCCTGTACCCCAGGCGGGGCCCTACCAGCTCTTCAGCTCTGTGCTTGGTGAGTAGTACAGACCAAGGCGCATCTCCTTGGCCATGCTATGCCTCCCTGTGATATCGGGTCCAGTGTTCTCTCTGGTGTTGCTGCTGAGTAGTGTCCCAGGATCCCTAGCGGGCCAGCACCCACTACATGCATACAGTGTTGCAGACAGAAGGAATACGGAGGCCATTTAGTCAGAGCAATCTCTGTCTGACCTTCTGTGTCATTTCCTTAATGGCACTATGAAAGTGTAACATTATACTCTTTTAGTCTTCCTTTTTTTTTTTTTTTTTGTCTTAGTACTGGGGCTTGAACTCAGGGCCCGAGTGTTATCCTTTTGCTCTTTTTTTTTCTCACATTTTTTTATTGTGAAAATACTGTACAGAGGGGTTACAATTACATGGGCAAGATAATGAGTACATTTCTTATCAAGCATTGTAGCTTCCTCCTTT